AAACAAGCTTACACACACACACAGACACACACACACACACTCACACACACACACAGGCACGCACATAAAAGAAAATACCACTTTTTCATGGATAATTCCCACATATAGATATATGTCCGTATTCTAGTTATATTTCTTACATTTTTATTAATACCTTGTTTATGTTGATAAAAAATTTGATCCATCATTTTCTTTCCACCTTTCTTTCAGATTTAGTACCAGAATAATCCTGGGCTTATAAAATTACTTGAGAAACAGTCTCTTATCTCTGATTTTCAGGAAAGGTTCACAAATAGAATTCCAAGTTGATCCTTATTCCTTCAGCACTTTAATGCTATTTCTCTATTATGTTTTCTTTCTCATCATTTTGATGAGAAAAGGGTGGTCTCATCCACATTATCTAAATAACATCTCTCTTTTACATAAACATATCTTCACATACACTTTTCAATTTTTACCTTAAGTGTCATCTTCAAGTAATTTGATTTTGGTATTCCTTGGGGAAATTTTCTTCAGGGTTCTTATGTTCAGTAGTTCACGTTCTTCTTTGATCTACACATTAATAATTTGATTTGAGTTTTCATTTTCATTAGGGGACAAAAATAGGACTCTATAGACACACACACATACACACACACACACACACACACATATATGTACATTAATTGGGCTGTGGCAGTGAGGGTAGATGAGAATAGGGAAGGGAATATAAATGCTGTTTATATTGAATGAAAATTTTAAAAAATCAATAATATTGGTGCATTTCATACAATACTTCTTAATCATATTTAGATACACTCCCCTCTCTGTACCCCACCATAGACCCCTATCAGATTTCATGCATTGTATCATATATTTTAAGGCCCATTGAGTCAAGTTTGTGTCCCTAGACATCCTTTGGTGCAATTTCATCCACTGGAGCCTGGTCAGCCTATCTAGCATCACTTCCTTAGAGAAGACCAGCACTCCCTCACCCATCAGTGATCAGCTGCCAGTAGTTCCTCAGCAAATGTTTGGACCTCCTGCCCATTTCTCCATTTCTAGGCTGAATTTTTGTCTGGTTTGAATTTGCATGCTGTCACCAGCCCTGTAAGTTCCTATGAGCAAATTCCCGGAAGGCTGGGAAAGTCTGCTTCCTTGTGATCATCCACCACCTCTGGCTCTTACAACCTTTCTTCCTTCTCTTCTGTAATCATCCCTGAACCCTGGAAGTGTAAGTTTTAATATAAGAGTTCTATTCAGGAATGCACAATCTGCAGTCTCTTATTTTCTACACTTTTACCAGTTGCAATCTTCTGTGTTAATCACCAGCCATTGCATGAGGAAGCTTCACTTGTGAGAGGTGAGAACTCCTTTAGAGTTCGTTTGACCCCCTTTCTGCTATGTTCCATGCATCTTAGGAATAGAGGGTCCATTGCAGATGTGTCACTTGAGATAAGCATCTCTGAGATACTTATTCCTCGGGTTTGATCAGTTTTGAAACTCTGTAAGAGTCTCCATCTGTTGCAAAAAGTTCTTGATGAGTGGTGACAGATATACTTGTCTATAAATTATTCCATTATTTCTCTGAGTATTTTCCTTCCTCTTGCTGTGGTTATTCTCTCTCTCTCTCTCTCTCTCTCTCTCTCTCTATATATATATATATATGAATTTTTCCTTAATTCACTGGTGTTTGCCTCATTTCTACCATATTATATTTCTAAATTTTATTTTCAGTATTATTTCTATATTTACTAATCTTATCCTTGGCAGTACATACTTTGCTACTGATCCTACACAGTATATGCTTCTCCTCTGACATTTTCCCCATCTCTAGAAGTTCAAATCATATTTTAAACTTCTTCAGACCCTAAATTACATAGATAATCTTTCTTGTGCTTGTTGAAAAGTAGAATAGAGATATAATATCTTTAATGACTATAAATAAAGTCTATTGATTTTTGTTATTTTAAACCAGTTCTAATAGGTTCACCTGTTTATTGTGTTTATTTTCATAGTTTATAAATTTTTATTTTGGATTTCTGTGTTACAACCGTAGTAGACACTTTTATATTTCTACAACCATTTTATCAATTGTCCTGGGACACCTTTAAGTTACTTGGAACACTTTATTTCTTCTAGATTGTGCTTTTATATTTCATTAGAGAAGTTTTGAAGTTTTTCTCTAGGTATAAATTTTGCACACTACTTAAGCAAGCACTTTATCAAATTACTCGATTCAGTGCCTCATAAATTATGATGTAATTCATGAAAAAAAGAGAATCTTCCTCATTAATGTTGAGCTTGGTGAATGATTTTCTAAAATTCTTACTCTAGCATACTCCCATCCCTTCATTCTTTGGGTATGTTTATCACACACAGTAGTAATATATGTGCAGCTTTAGACTCAATTTCTCCCATTTCCTCTCATCTGATTATCTTTCTTCTCTTCAGTACTTTACCATGCCTACTCTGTTGCTTGGACAGATCTCTAACTCTTTCCCCTCTACTAAATGAAAGCGGTTAGTTTCTGCTTTGTGTTTCTGCTTGTGTTGAAGCCTGGAAATTCTCTAAATTTAGCAAGCTAACCTCACAACTATAGGAATTATATCATTTGCAGCCTTTCTACACGGTCCTTTGTCTAATATTCAAAATTTAAAGATTATTCACATTTTTAGGGCACTCGTTGAATTTAATTATCTCAGTGGGAAGTATGCCTTGTTATTTCTTCATATTCAGAAGCAGAAATCTGCTGTAAACTTTCAATATCAAATCATTTTTAGAAACTTTATTCTCCAAGGAAAATTTATTTTAATGAACAATATACATTTAGCAGATATGAAACTATAAAAAGTGAGTGTGAGTAGTTTCAATCTCTGTTCGATGTCAATGAGTAGTCAGACACAAAACATTTACCATGAAACAGAACACGAATATGTGTGTGTTCTTGAAATGATCAAAAATTTTATTTAGAACTAAAATGAAAGCATATAAAATTATTGTAACAAGCATATGTGTAGTAACTAATTGCCTTCTAAAAGAGTTTATTGGGCTGGAGAAATTGCTCAGTGGTTAAGAGCACTGACTGTTCTTACAGAGGACCTGGTTTGATTTCCAGCACCCACATAGTGGCTAACAACTGTCCATAACTCCAGTTCCAGGGGAACCCAATGCTATCTTCTGACCTTTGGAGGCATTGCCCAACATGGGTGCACTTACATACATGCAGACAATGCACTTATATATATAAAATAAAAATAAATAAAATACTTTTAAGAAGACTTTATTGTTACTAATAAATGAAAGTACACATATGTATCTTTCTAATATTGGATTTATCTAGCTTTTTATCAACATATTTTTAAAATATCTTATTTATTATTTTTATTTTATTGTGTATGTAAGTGTACCCTGTCATGCAATGCCTGCAGAGATCTGAAAAGGGCACCCAGTCCCCTGGAATTGGAGTTACAAACGGTTAGCCTCCATGTAGGTGCTGGGAATCAAACTCAGTCCTCTGCAAAAGCAAACTGTACTCTCACCCACTGAGCCATCTCTCCCACTCCTTCTCAATATTTTTTTCCATTTATCAGAACCAATGGTCAATTTTTTCTCTGTATATTTTAGGTATATAAGATGACCTTTTGTGTAGGAAACCAGGATGGCATGCCCTAGGGCAAGATAAGCCTAAAACTTTTAAGTCCAGGCTACAGGAGGGGTGCTGAAAACAGAAGCTCTGATATCACTGTCTTGCAGAACACTGCAGGGCTAGCAGGAGAAAGGCAGCCAGGTCCAAAGTTTAGTCTCTTTGCTCTGAGGGAAAAACATCCTGATCAACAGCCCTTATCCCACCTCCTTGTCTGGAACAGATAATTCAGCTAATTCACTAAAAGAATAGGCCAGGTTAAGGGTTTACTCCTGGGGTCAAAGCTAAAAGTTTGCTATTCTTCTAGCATTAAGAATGAAAACACTGTGACCAACAAATTACCACATAGGCAACTGTTAAAAGTTTAAGCATCCTGCTTTACAAACAGCCCCTAGCTGATGCTAAAAAAAGTTGTATGTCCTATTTCCTATCTAATTGTACCCTATATTTATGCGTAACTGCCAAACCCCACATGACTACCAGTTCTTTAATGTATTAAAAACTTCTAAATTTTTCAATAAACAGCTTGTTGTAAAGGAAAACACAGTCCCAGAGTTGTAACTCTGTCACCAGTTGGTATCGCTGTCATGAAAGCAAGGCTCCCCACAGAGCAAAGTAGACGCTTTTGTTACACATGTAGCCGGTGGTTACTGTAGTCATGTCATTTAATATTTTTATACTTACCTTTATTTTGTGACAAGATCATGTAAAAATTATCTTCAAAAAATTATAAGGAAAGTACAATATCTTAGCTAGAAAAGT